TTTCTGAGAAGTGAAATTTTTCCATTTCATCCCCACTCAAGGATATTAATTAGAAACAATATTTGCCCGTGTATGCACTTAACATGGGAAACACATGGACACCCACTTTTCACTGTAGATTGATATGCTTTTGAATAATCGTTGAAATTAAAAAATTTCAAATTTGTCTGAGCTTTTTTGGCATAAATTTTGATTTTTTTCAAATTAAGGTACTTTGTTGTTCATCAGATTTTGCTTTAAAAATATTTGTAATCAAGTGTTATACAAAATATTTCTTCTTGATGTGCTTAACTCACAACGATATAAATGTATATAGTACTGTGTAAGTTATAGGATGTTGTCAAAATGATGTAAACTAAACTACTTAATCATTAATGAGCCGCATCATGACAATACCAACATAATGGGTTTGCGACCAGCATGGATCCAGACCAGCCTGCGCATCAGCGCAGTCTGATCAGGATCCATGCTGTTCACTTACCAAGTATATAACAAGTAGAGAAACTGATAGCGTACAGCATGGATCCTGATCAGACTGCGCGGATGCGCAGGCTGGTCTGGATCCATGCTGGTGACAAACCCATTATGTTGGTTTTGTCATGACGTGGCTCATTTGTTCTAGCAATTCACCCCAACTGTGCTGAATATGTATGATATACTTTGCCTAGTTTTAATTTGAGAATCATTTTAATATGTGTCTGAGTGATTTAAATTTCACTATTTGAAATGGTAAGATTGAGCCAGTGTTATCTAGGGTTTTTGTGTCTAATCAGTCTGACCTAACAAAAAATAGTAAAACCTGACAACCATAAGGTCAGGCAGGCCTAACAAATAGGTCAAACTGGCTAGAAATAAGGTCAAACTGGCCTAACAATAAGGTCAAGCTGGGTTTAAAAAGGTTAGAACAGCCTAATGAATAAGGTCAAACTAGACTAACAATAAGGTCAGACTGGCTATCAATAAGGGCTGATTGACCTAAACAATAAGGTCAGACTGGCCTAAGCAATAAGGTCTGATTGACCTAAACAATAAGGTCAGACAAGCCTTACAATAAGAGTTCAAATTTTACTTACAATAAGATCAGACTGGCCTAACAATAAGGTCTGATTGACCTAACAATAAGGTCAGACTAGCCTTACAATAAGATCAAATTTTACTTACAATAAGATCAGACTGGCCTAACAATAAGGTCTGATTGACCTAACAATAAGGTCAGACTAGCCTTACAATAAGATCAAATTTTACTAACAATAAGATCAGACTGGCCTAACAATAAAGTCAGACTAGCCTAACAATAAGGTTTGGCTGGACTAACAATAAGGACAAACTAGCCTTACAATACTCGTGTTATGGGCAAGTCATCTTTACAAGCACTGTAGGAGTTGATATTTTCATACATATAATAACTTTTATCTCCAGTTAATTTTGTTTAGAGTATTGTGATAAGAAAAAACAATGTCATTTTTTTAACAAAAAATGGCATATAATTTAAATTTTAAAAAATTTCCTTTTTACATTTGTTTTTTTATCAAAAATTTTTCCAAAAAATTTAAAGATCTAAATTTAAAATTTTTTAGCAGAAAGAAAATCAACAGACAGTTTTACCCCATATTTGCACTAATTAGAGAGTTTTGTAAATTTTCTTTTTTTCAGAAAAATGGTTTATATTCCTAAACATGCTTTTTAAAAATTTTTTTTCCCAAATTTCCAAAAAACCATTTTACTTAAAAATTTTTGGCTAAATTTTAAAATTTTTTTTTTGTTTAAAAAAATCATTAAATAATTGAAAATTGAAAAATTTTTTGGGGAAATTTTCGACTTGTATATAATGGACATGTCTTAATTTGAACTAGGAAATGTAACTTTGTTTATTTTATAGATTTTAGTATTTTGAGCCATTTTTTTACTGTCCTCTAATAAATGCAGTTAACAGTTGTATTTAATAGTTCATGGTTGTATTTTGGATCTTAATCTTTTTTCACCCAATTATTGATAAATTTTAAACAAAATATGTAAGATTGATGATGTTTTAAAAACACATTGTCATTTAAGTTCAAAAATTGATGTTTTGTCTACCCAGAAGTTTTTTTTTTATATACCTATTTCTAACGCTAAGAGAATGAAATAGATATTAAAGTTTTTTTACGACCATAACAAAGTCTAGATTTAGGAAGATTTGTTCTTTTTTTTTATAAAAACAAGTTCACATTTAAACATATTTATATCATTTTATTTAACTCTTAATTTTGCAATTCACCTGGTAATTTTTTTTTTGGTTAGAATTTATGCAAAATTAGATATCTAAAAATACCCACTTTTTGTTTAACAGTATCAAATAAATTCATACATCATGCCTTATATTTTAAACATCTGCAGATGTTGCGGTGTCTCTCATTCATTTTTAAACCTTTAAAAATTTGCAGATTTTATCATCTTGTCACCAATTGTTGTAAGTATATGTAGTTTTAGATTATCAAAAAAAGCATGTCTTTCAATAACTTAAAAGTAGAATTGTAAATAATTTAGATGTGGACATTTTATGAAAGATTACACATACACAAAATTGTATATTTCATTATTTGATTGAAAATATTGCAATATATTAACACCTGAAATTGTTATTTTTATTTGCTGGTTTCTTTAATTAAGCAATTATGTTTCATATTAAAAAAAAAAATCCAGTAAAAAGGAATTTTTTCGTTTGGTTCTAGCACTAATTTAGAGGGGAAATCAAGCTTTGGTGCTTAAAGTCTGTAGATTACTTCATAATTGTATCATGGTAATAATAAAAAAGCAATATTTAAAATGACTTTTGATAAAGTCAATGACCCAAAGATAAAACTTTTTGTGACAGAAGCAGGTTTAGCAAGTCTTAAGGTGACAAAATATTGATCCAGTCAGTGAAGAACTTTCAATATAACCCTGATTCAGTCTCTGTGAAAAAATAGCTTCCAACAGGAAGTGTATAAGAATGTTTGGTTTAAGTGTTATTAGCAATTTAAAATGTAATACTGATAAAGAACAGAGTAGAAAATATGTGAAAATATTGTCCATAATTAGTAAACATAACCAATTAGTTATTGCCCTTCATAATTTTTTTTTTAGGCATTCATTAATGTAAACAACTTTTATTACAACAGAACAATTTTTATTGTACAATTTTGTTTCAAGTTTTTATGCAGAACAAATGTAACATACATAACAGATTTATTTTCCTTTAATAAATTACCTTATGGAACAAGTCAGATTTACCTAATTAGAAATGCCAGAAGACACCAACTTTTTATTTATGAATTTTTTTAGATTACAAACTTTGTTTTTGCTTATTCTAACTACATGATAAGCTTTTACTTGCTGTTATGTCTTAACAGTTAGATTTTTTACACACATGTCTTGTTGTTTAGTGCTATAAATGTGCATCAATAAAATCAGGATAATCTATATGGATCTTGTGTTGTATATTAAACAATTTAAAGCATCATGTGGCAGTTTAGACAGATTTATTTGTATAAAGTTTTGACCTCGGTTAAGTGAGTTTCATCTCTAGATCTTTTGATGACAATTTGAATAACAAATGGATCAAATGAAGTTACTTGTACACCAATGCAACTTATATGCCACTTTTGATTCATGCTACAATGTAAGTTGACATTTTCTTACAATAAACAAGTTTGTTGTAATACTAGTGGTAAAGAATTCCAGAACTTGGAATTGACTTAAAAGTTTTCAAAGTGTTGCTCAAGTACAAACAATATTTGACATCTCATAGACAAGAGGTAACAACAAACAGTTATAGATTTCAAAATTAAAGATAATACATACTTATAATTGTATCTCTTGAAATACAAACACGATACAAAACAGACTCAAAAGAAATCACTAAAAAGTAATGCATAATTCAAATGTTTATTGCCTTGACAACAGATATTATAACAAAAACATAACATTAATATATCACAGCTGGGATCATAATTAAAATTCAACAAGTTTTGATATTTACAACACACACAACAAGGTACAAAGTAAACTGCAAAAGCTAATGTACACATATCTTCATTTTAAAAACAAAAATCCTTAACAAGTTACTTCATAACAAATACACAAAGAAGCCTATTCAAATTACCCTTAAAATCTAATTTAATTAATGGTATAAAGAATAATTAACAATGACTATTTCTACTAAAAGGTACAAGTACAATCAACTGCATGTTATTGCAACATTAAGAAAACAAACGAAAAACAAATCTTAATCAATGATCAATATTATGATATCTACTGTGTATGATTTAACATACAGCTTGTCTCTTTTACAAGTCAATTTCTACTTTATGAAACATTAGAAACACTTGCATACAGTATATACACATAATAAGGTGACTAAATCATTTTGTATATGGATGTCTCATGGCAACATTATTTTTGTCATCTAAGTCAATCAAATTACTGCAGTGTTGAAACTACTCAAATGATCACAATCTATTAGGCCAAAATATATGAGTGCCCTGAATTTAATCAAGACATGTAATAAAAGAATCAAACTGAGCATTTCACTTCCAGTTTATTTTATTTATGGTTATGATTAAACCATAATGTCTTTGCTAACAATGCTTGCCTTCTTCCTCTTCTTGGGATCATCAAAAACATCTTGTGTTGAAGATAGCTCAAACTCTTGGTCCTGTTTTAAAATACAGTCAATAAATTTATAATATCAAGAGATCAAAAATTCCACTCATCCACTCGTAATTAAGAGTAGAATTTAAGAGAACTCGGTGGAGGACGAGTAGAAAATTGTGTGTGACCTGTACATTGGATTTAGAAGCTACTTGTCTTGCAGGACAAGTGACTGTGAAAAATTTTTGATGCCCGTTATAACAATATATACGTTTGTTTTACGACTTAGACCATTAATATTTGTCAGTCTACCGAGATGGGAATTTATTGATCAAGGTAACACAGAAACTTTGGTTTCTAAAAAGAGAAGGATTACTTTGATTTTTTTAAAGACTCAAAAATTAAAACAGTTTTGCCTTTCACTTTTTTCAAGTTTTAATTTTCAAGTGTTTATCACTTTATTACAATCATATGACCCTAACAGGACTAACTTTATCTGAACTCCTCGGTGTTATCAAAAAAGAAAATAGATAATTATAAAACTGTTACCTCCTGAGATTTGGAAACAGCTCTTTTTCTGCCTTTTCTTTTCTTGTCATTTTCCTCTTGAACTTTATTTTCTTCATAAGTTATATTTTCTTTTTTAACCTAAAATATACAAACACATTCTTAAATATATTTGTCACTTCGTATATACTGAATTACTACAAAAAATTGTTACCATTTTACCTAAAAATGCAACTTCATTTTAAAATACAAACAAGTTAACAAATTCTTTCTATTCTTTGAATGACAAGTATTGATCGTGTTTCATATTTGTTGAGTTTTTCTTACCTCTTCAATTTTCTCATTTTGATTCTTTTTCTTTCTTGATAATTTTCCTTTTTTGTTAATTTTCAAACTTTCTGTTTTCTCTGTTAATTTGTCAACCTAGAAATAAATATAAGATAAACAAATATACACTCTACAATAGATAATACAATTTAGATGAGATGAAAAAACAACTTGAATTCAAGAGAGCACTGATTTTACGTTTTCTTTAGCAAAGGCTCACTAAAATAGAACAAGTATTTAGACTTTTCCCATTCAATCATGGACTGATCACTTACCTCACTTTGGGTATCCATCAGATTACTGTTTGTTTCTTTATCATTTTGTGTCTGAAAAAAAATATGTAATTCTCAGAATAAAGCACAATTTCAAATGTACCAATACTATTCCCAACACAATCTACGAAATCTGTAAAATTCAGTTAAATTGTTTCTACATGCATCAACTGCTATCAGTGCCCAGAGCCTTGGAGAAGAGTACAAAACCTATAGAAATCCTATGAATAGTTTATTTCATTATTTAATCTTTTGAATACAATTGATTTAAAATCACAACAAGACAGGACTTTAAAATACATCCCAGTTTTTTCTTACTTGACATTTCTAAGTTACAGTTGCTTTAGATGACATATAATTATAAATTTTCTCTTCTTAAAAATCTAAAGTAAACATTCAAAAACTAAAGACAGCATGTTATTTAATGTTCTTTGATGATTTAAATTTCACAAAAACATTTCTAACTTTACTAACCATTTCCGTCTTATTATCATGATCAGCCTCTTTTTGTCTCTCGTGTTTTTTCATGTATTTTGGAATGCCAACATTTGTTATTTTCTCTTTGTCCACCAGTTTCCCCAGTCTGAAAATTGCTCAAATCTTTTAGCCAAAGTCAACATTTTGTTCACACCATTATAAACTATCAATATAAGTCCAAGTAAGAGAGTAAGACGAGTCAACACTTTATTTTATTTACAACTACTAGTTTCGGTCAATACTTGACCTTTATCAGGACGAATTAATTCTATAATTTTTGCTACTGAAATATATATAAAAAAACAGCTACAGATACAATCATAGTTTGGAAAGTTGCAAGGTTTCCTTTTCTTTAGGAAGGTTCATACTCAAGACAACAATTTTATTACAATCTTACTTTTTCCCTTTGCCAGCAGATTTGAGAAATCCCTCTTTATCTAGTCTGTTCATTAACCCTTGTGCAACTGTCATTTCTGTTCCTAGTCGCTTGGCTAGTACTGGAGCAAGTACCCTAGTTAATCCCAGACAAGCAATGAGTGCTCGTCTCCATAAACAAGTTGCCTGAAATCAAAAACAAAATCTCTGTATCAGAAAGTTTAATATATTCATATTAGTTGGAATGCAAATTAATTTGTGGAAAAAATTATCTTTCAATTCATTAAAGTTTGCAAAAGTTATAGTATATTTTGTATACTTTGTATTTATATTCAATTCACATTAAACAATGTATAAGGAGAAAACTAAAAAAATCTTAAGGGTTTTGAATTGTTAAAGAAAAGACATGAAACATCTAACAGTTGTATAAGGCACAATATCTAATACTGAATACACCCATCAGTGTTTTGATTAAAAACAAATTGTGCAGTTGCTGTATTGTTTACACTAAGATTAAACAAAGAAATAAAGCATTCTTTAAAAATTGTTTAATCTGATTTAATGACAAGAACACTATTTACCTGTATTTGGATGGATGACAATTCACTAAGATAGAAATCTGTTGGTTCTCTGTCAGGATCACCAATCTGTAAAATATTCTTTTTATTAAAAAAAAACATACAAAAATTATATATACAATATTGAATAAGCTGGTTATTTCTGAGTTTGTCAGTATTTTTTTCTGATATACACTTTCCAATAGCTAATCCACCATAAATAACAATAGAGCAATTCATACTACATGTATTTTGTAAATATGCTTATAATAATCTTTAAATGGTCACAAAACATAAAATAATAAAGAAGCACAAGGCAAATGATTTTACAACATCTTGGTAATCTGCAATCTTTTATTAAGATTTGTTGTATAGCTGAAATTTTACAACAGCTTAATTTGATGTGTTGTTTCTAATAACAGATAAAAACTAACCATGGAATTTAAAATTGTTACATATTAAAGGCAACAATGATTACCTGAGCACAGACATCACAGATGTGATGATCAGGGGCATCCTCCTCTTCTACTATGAGGAAACATACACCATGCTGCCAGAACTTACATATAGCACACATCACCATCAAACCATCATCCTAAATATTCAACGATATTCTCAGATTATCAATTTTAAACTTTCACAACTTTGCAGAAAACCACATTATAAACTTGTGACCAAAGACTGTGAAAGTAAAGATGACAACGTATTTACATGTTATTGTTGTTCAAGTTATTGTTATTACCCTTGATAATACCAAATGTTTGTAACATCACTTTTCAGCATATAATCTTGCAGTCGATTAATGAAGAAATTCAATTTGTTTTCTCTAATAAAGGAAGTTTGCAGTATTATAAATTCATTTTAAAGATTCTTGACAGATTATTTGGCCATATATAAACGGTTATTTTCAATATAACTCAAGCCATATATATAGAGCCATATAACATATTAAAACTCTTTATAACCAATAATATACTTGTATGCAGCCCATATATCTTTTAATAATATTTACTAAACTGGGAATAAAAATCTAAACCTATTATTACTGGTTGTTACAACATTTAACACCAAAACAATACAAAGTCTCATTTTGAAGTACTAGTATTCTAGCATACTAGAGCTAATATATAGATATCATAGAGAGAAAAAAAACCTCATTGCAGCCACAGGGGCATCTAACTTTATACTCCTCGGGATCTGTAGCTTGACTTGTCTGTGAACCTACAACATCTACAGCTGGAGTAGCTAAAATATAGTGGAGTTTAAACATCTTAGTAAATATAATATTTATACTAGAATAAATTAGAACAAACATATTTTCAAAACATTAGCAAATAGATTAAAATTTACCGTACAAACAGTTCTGAAAATAAACATTAGGGCATATCTTAATCTCAGGTACAAGAAATGCTTTATGCCAAAATTGGAGGCAGATATTGTGAACTTGAATTAATCAATGATATCGAAACACTATCATTAATTTGTCTTACAAGTTTGTTTTAAGAGATAAACCCTTACTTTATTCAGAAAAAAGAACTTAAAGTAACATTAGATTTTAAAAAAACTACTTTGGTTCCATTATTTGTTTTGAAAGTTATAATATGGATGTACTTGGTTTAGCTGGGGATTCTTCAGGAATATTTGCATTAGTCTGAGGCTCCTGTTGTATTCTAGATATATTTCCTGATGTAGGATGCTTTATCCCTTCTTTGTCTTTGGAAACCTGTAAGATCAATTATGGTTTACCCTAAACAAAAACTTTGACCTGTTGCATTTTTCAAAAGCTTTTTAGGTTTGTTCAGTTTTCAGTCTTGCTTACAAACAGATGCCTACTGTATAAAGAGCGTGCTGAGATCATTTGAGCCGTGTCACGACAAAACCAACAAAATGGGTTTGCGACCGGCATGGATCCAGACCAGCCTGCGCATCCGCGCAGTCTGATCAGGATCCATGCTGTTCGCTTATCAACTCTTTTACAAGTGGAGAAACTGACAGCGAACAGCATGGATCCTGATCAGACTGCGCAGGCTGGTCTGGATCCATGCTGGTCGCAAACCCATTATGTTGGTTTTGTCGTGACTCAGCTCATTTTTAGAAACACAGTAGTGCATCTACATGAAATAACTGACACAAGAATACTAGAAACATTGAAAGATGCTTCCTGATGAACAAGAGCTAAAATATATATTTTGCCTCAGTGGACTTGTAACTTGACATAATCTTCAAACCAAATCAAGGGCAGGGATTGTCCTAGGGCGCGATATCCGCGATTTTTCGCACGGACACTGCAAAATTCGCATCGAAAATCCTTAAATGGGAGAATTTATCGCACCGTTTCCAGCCGAATGAAATTCCGCTAATTTAGTACTTTCTGACCTAAAGCGCTTTAAATCAACGTCGTCTGGACGATTGCCAAGCGTCTAATATACGCCCTCTTCCTTTTATAAGCGTTTTTCTGTTGTGATCAATATGGCAAAGCCGGACAAGCAGAAATCTCTTCTTTCGTTCCTAAAATCATCAAATTCAGATGTAAATAATAATTTTGATGGCGAAACACCATCATCGCCGAAGAAAGCGAAAAATAGCAAAAGCAGTATTCCAACACAAATGGCTAAAGTCCTACTTCTGGTTGAAATTTGACGATAACAAAAATGAGATGTATTGCGATCTTTGTAGAAATTTACACTATTGTAATACCATGGCCTGGGAACCAGTAATTTTAAGACCACAACCCTCCAGAGGCATGCTGCAAGCAGTGATCACCTCTCTGCAGTATCAAAAACAAGTCACACAGACAGCAATTTAAGGAAGCTGTGCTCAATGCTGATAGCAAGGAGTCTAAGTCGATAATGTTGGTTATGAAGGTTGTATATTGGTTAGCAAAAGAGTGTATTCCTCTTACAAAATATTCAAGTTTAATGGAACTTCTTCAGTTTTTAGAGACTCCAAATACGAGTGCACTGAAAGTTGGTGAGAAGGTAAATTACTCCAGCTATAAGACAGCATGCGACATTTTGTGTGCTTTATCTGATCTTATTGACAATGATGTGACGAAAAAACTACAAAAATCACCAACCATAACAATTTTAACAGATGAAAGTACTGATATTGTTGTGCATCATAAGTTGTGCATCAGTGCTAGGGTGGTAGACCCAGTCGACTTGAAACCTTCAACTTTATTCCTGTCTGATGTGAGAATTACCTCTGCTACAGGAGAGGGTATCTTCACTGCGCTTGAACAGCATCTTGGTGAAAGAAACATACAGATGTCAAAGGTGTCAGGTGAGTTTCAACAATAAATCTTCAGAGTCTCAGTCATAAAAGACTCAAATGTCAATATTTCAAGCTGTCAGGTCTTTTTGAGATAAAAAAGTTCACTCTATCTTGAATTATATTTTATTATTATAGAACAATTTGATTGAATTATTTGGTATATTTTTTAGGACTTGGTACAGATGGTGCTGCTGTTATGACAGGGAAGAAAAAAGGTCTTACAGGTCGTTTCTTGGAGTTGAACCCTCACCTTATCAACACTCACTGTTCAGCTCATAGACTAGCCCTTTGCACCGAACAAGCAGCTGAGAAAATTCCAGGTAATAAATGTTTTTGAATTTAGGCCACAAATATATCACAATGGACAATAAAAGAGGTCAGATCAAATGTTATGAAGTTGAAATTAATCATATACTAATGTAACACTGCATGTCCAGTCCTTAATCCTTGGTTGAGATTGAAATTACAGGAAGGTCGCATACATTCTTTTGCCATTTGCTAACTTAAATGGTAAATGTTTTATTTTTCCTTTTTGCAGCAATGAAGTATTATCAGCAGATCTTAGAGTCTATATTTTACTACTTCAAAAAGAGCCCAGAAAGATGTGACAAGCTTGAAGTTGTGCAAAAAGTGTTGAATGATCCATGTTTGAAATACAGAGAAGTTCACAAGGTAAGTTTCAGTTTGAGTTAGCTTTTGCAAGGACTTGTCGTGTTTGCACAACACTCCTCCCTACCTATTCTTAGACTTTTATACCCCTTTCTTGCTTTGAAATCAATTGTACAGCTACATGTATAGAGGGTATACTGCCCATAAATATTCTTAATAAAACTCAGTTTTCTATTTTCTGTACTTTGTTTCATTTGCATTCCTTCTAAAGATCAACATTTATTTGGAAACAATATATTGCTTTTTTATTACAGGTGCGATGGCTATCCTTTTATGAGGCGTTAGATGCAGTCTATCGAACAATGGACTCCCTGCTATCCTTATTCTCAACTTGTAATGATGCTAAAGCTATGGGCTTCAAGAAGAAGCTTGGTGAAGATTTCTTTGTCTATACAACCTACTCCATGATGGATGTCCTTCGTCCTGTTATGGCATTAAATCTATTCTTTCAGAAGAAAGATGTAGATATTGGCTGTGTATTCAGGTAAGGTTTGAAGTTTTCAGGACTTACTAGAAGGCTGAAGCTTACCATATGAAGTAATATTTGAATCTTTGTGTTGAAAAACAGAATACAATTTTTTTTCAGAACGGTAGCACTCTTGATAAAAATAAAGTCATGACCAATTTTTACACGATAATACTTAAATATTAAACTATTTTGTTTTCTCAATCTTATTCACAGTTGTCAGTGGATGCATGCCTTATTGAGCTTAACAAGATGCTGAAAAAGGAAGAGTTATCTTGCCCATTTCTACAAGCTCTTACCGAAGATATGAAGGACAATGTCTACAAAGGGCAACATCAGATAACAAAATCAAAGTACAATTCAGTGACCTGCAGAGAGCAGTTCATCACTGCCCTGATTGACAACATATCAGCCAGGTAACCAAGATTTGAACAAATTCAGATCTGTTTGTTGACTTGATCAAGTTTTTTTTAAATTTATAAGTATGCCATCACTGTTAGTTGCAGATGCAAAATAAAGATAACAGTATGAATGCTTGACCATTTGTGCACATATGACAGATTAGTAAAATCAAACAAAACTCTTTAAGTACAACTGATATCAGCAATTTTATTTCAGGTTCCCAGACAAGCATATCATGACCAGTTTTTGTGCTTTGAGTCTAAGGCCCATAACATTCCTTGATGGTGAAGAGTTGGAATCCTGGGGAAATGATTCACTAGAGGTTCTCATAGATCACTTTGGAGCAACACAGTCTCACAGCTATGAGGATAGCAGTGGAGTGAAAAGGGTTGTTACATCAGACCCAGTAATAGATGCCACCAGTACAAGGACAGAGTGGTCACTTCTGAAGAAGACTGTGAAACTTCAGCAATATCCAAGACACAGTACACATGAACTCTGGTCATTGATAGTAAAATTCCATAATGAACAGTTTCCAAACCTGTTGAAGTTGGCAGCTCTTGCACTTACACACCCTGTGCACACAGCAGACTGTGAGAGAGCATTTTCTGCCCAAAATTCAGTGACCACCCCATTGAGAAATCGCCTAACCCCAGAACATTGTGGTCAGCTAATGAGAATCATGATTCAGGGTCCAAAGCTGCAAGAGTTTGACTTCAAAGAAGCTTTGTGTTTATGGCAAAAGGCAAAATCCAGAAAAATCTTCCAGTAAATTGTAATCCTGCCCGCAGCCTAGTTGACAACACTGCCTTAAACAATGACAATTATGACATTCATTGAAAATTCCTGCTTGTTAATACTCAACATGCATCATGCTATAATTTTAACTTAAGTTAATGGAAAATAAAATTTGAGTATACTATATACTAGTCAAAATTGTTCTAGTCAAATGGTATTATATATTAAAATGGTTGAATTTGATAAATTCTTATTTCTTAAATTGAAAATCTCATAATTTTTTTATAAATGGGAGAATTTCTCTCACAGAAATTAGAAATCTCTCACAATATTTTTGCAAATGGGAGAAATTCTCTCATGGAAAATTTGAGCTAGGATAATACATGCAAGGGTATAAGTCTATAGAACATACTAACATCTAAGATATCACAATGGAAAAGTTAAATACAGCCAATTTCAATATTTAAGGTTTTGAGGGCGTCTGTACTAAAAATATTTCTCTACATGCTAAAATTTTTAGGATGGTAAACATTAAACAAACTTTAATCTTTCAAAACATACAACAAAACGTTTAACACTGAGCTAATTTAAATGTTGTTGCTTTTTTCAATCATTTACTGTACCTTATTTATTGTCATGGATATTTAGATAATCATCACATGAAGTAGTTCCATACAACTAACCTGCCTGTTATTTTCTTCCATACTAATATCAGTATCTAAACCACTGTTTATTTCTGCATCAGTAATCTGATGTTCTTGACTGTTCGGATCCCTCATCGTGAACTGTTTCTTATCCGTTTTCACACGAACTTTCACACTGTGATAGTTCTTGAAAAAACAAAATTAAATTTTGTTCAAAATTCTGATTAACCCTCACAGAACATGCACTGAGAAAAAAAGACTCTGATTTTTTTGCAGCCACAACTCTTAACCTTATTGTCAAAATGACAAAAATATTTTGCGACTTAAACAGAATTTTGTTATCTAGAGCCTTTTACAGCAATTTTGCTTCTCGCTGGTTATGTATAAATAGCATGCTGTCACATAGGGTTCAACTTTCAATAAAAGAATAACTATTCAATGGAATGGAAGCCACTGAGTTAACTAAAATGGATTTTAAAAAACGGAATTTCTAAGGAACTTTCCAACAGATGATATAACATTTATAGCAAATAATAGGTTACTTTTGACAGTGAAAAAAAATATCTTACTGTGTTAACATCTCCCACTTTTATTGTCATAGGTTCTTCATCAAATACAAAGTTATCACTGTCTGCAGCTTTGAAACCTGGTGGTTCATAGTCTTCTGGTGTCACTGTTGATTTAAATTATTTATTATTCATTGAATTTTATTTTAAGTTAAGACCAGATTCCCACATACAAATTACTAATAACGTAAATAATAATATTTAGAACAATATAAAATTGTAAAATAATGAACAATTTTACAATAAAACGGTATGTATTATCAAAAAAATAAGACAAAAGATCTGAATTTACAACTTATAAAAATGAGGAACATCAATGATATATAAAGAAATGAATTTTTTCATGTGAAATCAATTCCAGTATTCATCTGACAAAAACTTCTGTTTTCAAGTTCATCTATACATATAAATCATTACTTATAACAAGAGGGCCATGATGGTTACTAGAAAATGTTTCATGCTTAACATCTTAACTCTAGCTATTCAGGTTTTTTCAAAGAAGATTTTTAAGTTTTTGCTATACACATTTAAGGAAAATCAATGTCACCGGGGCGGGGCCAATTTTGACCCCAGGGCTTTTATTTGAACAAACTTGGTAGACATCTATTAGAACATGTTTCATGCGTAATATCTTAGCTCTAGCTCTTTGGGTTCTTTAAAAGAATATTTTTTAAGTTTTTACTATATGCATATAGGGAAAATCAATGACCCCCTGGGGGCGGGGCCAATTTTGACCCCAGGGCTTTTATTTGAACAAACGTGGTAGAAACCCATTAGAGGATGTATCATGATAAATATCTTAGCTCTAGGTCTTTGGGTTCTTTAAAAGAAGATTTTTTAAGTTTTTACTATATGCATATAGGGAAAATCAATGACCCCCGGGGCGGGGCCAATTTTGTCCCCAGGGCTATTATTTGAACAAACTTGGTAGACACTCACTAGAAGATGTTTCATGCTAAATATCTTAGCTCTAGGTCTTTGGGTTTTTTACAAAGAAGATTTTTTAAGTTTTTACTATATGCATATAGGGAAAAATCAATGACCCCCTGGGGCGGGGCCAATTTTGACCCCAGGGCTTCTATTTGAACAAACTTGGTAGACACCCATTAGAGGATGTTTCATGCTAAATATCTTAGCTCAAGGTCTTTGGGTTCTTTACAAGAAGATTTTTAAGTTTTTGCTATACACATATAAGGAAAATCAATGACCCCCCGGGCGGGGCCAATTTTGACCCCAGGGCTTTTATTTGAACAAACTTGGTACACATCCATTAGAACATGTTTCATGCTAAATATCTTAGCTGTAGCTCTTTGGGTTCTTTAAAAGAAGATTTTTTAAGTTTTTACTATATGCATATAGGGAAAATCAATGACCCCCTGGGACGGGGCCAATTTTGACCCCAGGGCTTTTATTTGAACAAACTTGGTAGACACTCACTAGAAGATGTTTCATGCCAAATATCTAAGCTCTAGCTCTTTGGATTTTTTAGAAGAAGATATTTAAAGTTTTTTTCTTTTGGTTGCCATGGCAACCAGAGTTCTGCATGGAATTAAATTCTTTGAACAATTTTCAAAGGTGACCACCAAAGAAACATTCATGTGAAGTTTGGATGAAATTGGCTTAGTGGTTTATGAGGAGATGTCATTTAAAGTAAAAGTTTACAGACAGACGACTGACGGACGCCGGCCGGACGCCGGACGAAAAGCGATCACAAAAGCTCACCCTGTCACTTTGTGACAGGAGAGCTAAAAATAAAAGAGCAAGTATTAGACTTGACCTTATTTTCAAATAAAACTCAAAATAGGAATGACTTTAAAATGTATACAAATTTAATCCTTATATGCCAGCGCATGCTTCTTGGTTCAATCAAAAGGAATTCAAACAAAATAAGCATGTAAAAATTGAGCAAAAATTTAATCATTACATTAAATAAAATATACAAGCAATCAAACTGCACACATTAGCTTCATGCAAAGGCTACAAATGAAGACATTATACAGTACCATCATCATAGTAGAGAAGTTTCATGGTCATCATTACATCATCAGGAAGGGAATCTAGTGTCTGTGTAAGCAGTATAATGGTCCTCAACAATCTGATAGTGGCCTTTCTCGTCTCAGATTCAGTGTGGGCTCCAGATATTTTCTCACTATTTCTGTTGATTTGCAATGAAAAAAAAAATCTAAATTTTCAGGACATCTATTTTTCTAAAAATACACATATATAATTTAGGTCAAGAGAGTTTTTTACAATCATTGATATGAAAGATGTGAACAAGACATTGTTCATCAGTGTTTAATCAGAATATATGTAAGAACCAATTACCTGTAAATATCGATACCTCCATCATTGACATAGGAAAACTTGAAAGTGTATGATTCAATAACAGTCTGAAATAAATAACAACAAAATAAAAATTTTGCTGATAGCAAACAAATAATTAACATTTGCAGAAGCATGAAAATGCAATTTTTGAAGCCCTTACCTGCTCGTAAAGGAGTTAATAAGGTCAAGGACTTCTACAGATATATATGCATGAAAAAGCTGCAATAATGTTATTCTTGCATAAAAGTATACTTTTATTTATTCTGCAATTAGTTATTTGTTTTTCATATAGAAAAAAATGGTCATACTTTCCACAGGATAGTAATGAAACTGATTTGGCTGTCATTGCATTCAGCTATTTTTTTACATGGGGCCCTGATTCATGCATTTTAAGAAATGTGTAACAATGCTGAGTGCTCATGTGATTTTATCCATTAATGCACATTTTGTTTTACATTTATAATGAATACCTGTGTGCACAGTTTTTATGCGAGAATATTCCTTTAGCTTAATGACTGGTGTCAATATCCTAAGAATCAACATAATACACAGAATGTCTGGATAATGTTTCAAGAGTAAAAAACACATCAATATAACTATTATATACTCCAAGTTACAAAATTAATATACATGTAGTAACCACAGTACACTTTAGTTATAATTACCTCAGGGTTATCTGGATCCACATACAGCTGAAATGGTAAATCAACTTTGATTTGAAAAATATCTTGTTTAAAAAATATTTTGGAGCATAATAAAAGTCCAGAATGCTGCAACAATGTACATCATTTTGTACAAGTTAAGCATTTCAACTGTTCAATAGGTTACTTGATTTTAAAGTTTGTGAAAACAATACCTATAAAGCATAAAATTAAATTAAAATTGCTTATACCTGTATAACCAAATACTCATTACTTTCTGTGTATTTATTACACCATGCAAAATATTTATTAATTTCTTTTAGCAGAAATAAACGTCAATTCAATGTACACACAAAAAATTCATTGACTGTTCAAGAAATAAAAGAAAATATAACTGACAGTGAAGTATAATGAACTGCTATCAATACTTTTGAAAGTAAAGTTAGTCAATAGCAAAATCATATGAAATAAAGTTTTAGCTAGCATCACAAATAGTTGAATATTAATTTATTTTGTACTTACCCCTATCATAAGCATACGAAGCTGAAATGAATATAAGGAATAATGACAAGTCAAATTACACTTTAAAAAAAGCTATCATGCATTCTAATAGCAGAATTTTAGACAGTGTGTATACTGAGTTTTTATTAAAGTGTCAATCTGATTTCAAAGTAAGTGAAAACCAGTCATTTTTTTTTTTCAATTTACATGCTTGCAGAATGTAAATTCTCAAAATTTCATCACTGCATTAAAATCTAATTCTGTAAATATTAAACAATAAAAAAAAAACTTACATATTTCCTATCAAATGCATCAAAACATCCTTTCACCCATTTGATCACCTGACTGGCCCCAGGACAAGACACATCATCTTTCAATATCTTCAAACTTAGTCCTGTTTAGAAAATAACTGATCAGCAATTAAATTTTTCAAAAGCGACTTTCTGAACAATTAAATAAACAATTATGCAGACATTTATTGAACAACCTGGTAAGATGAAGCCAAAGGATTCATCTCTTTATTACAATATCTGACATTTTTTCACCAATTTGGTGATCTCACAAACACCAGTGGAATTGGGAAAAATGCATTGTATAATGTTCAAATTGGAAGTTTTTTAGTAACAGCTTTAATAAATATAATACTGTCATGTGTACAGCAGTGTTCGAAATTAGCAGTAGTCCAATAGACCCTGACTACTAAATTTCTCCACGGGTTACCAACTTTTCACAGTAACAAGCCCGACCAGGCTACTGTACTTTCAGAGGCAATATAAACAACTGTTTTGAACAAATGAATCGTGCTAGTGAAATGTCTTTTGGGCTAGTGAATATTCCAATCTGGTAGTCCGACCAGCCTAGTGGATTCAAATCCTAATTTCTTACACTGGTACAGTTTTACATAGATATTTTGCTCTGCTTTAAAAAAAAAATCCTATATTATATAATATAATAATTGGTAAATGAGACATAAAAGCAATATTGTTTAATTATTTGTTTTAAGAGATATGGTTCACTAGAAAAATACCCTCTAAACTACGATCTCCAAATGCATGTTCTGGGAAGATAGCTCTTAAATAAGCAATATTAGAAACTGCAACTGCAAGCAACTTTTTAACAAACAATGCTGACTGCACTTCTGAAATCTGTTCATTAGGAAATATAGCTCCCCACTGGAATAGTAAAAAAATCACAATATGAATGCAAATTTATAAATGAATTTGTAAATGATGTATTATATGGAACAAATTTGTGCTCTACTCATTTTTTGCCTTCTACAAATGAGCCAACACACAGGTTATTTGTCTGACCAACATCAACTGGAAAAATTATTTCCAGTCCTGTCACAGAACCTTTTCCACATAGTTTTGGAAAAGGCACCGGGAAAAATATTTGACACTTCGGGAAACTTGAGATTTTTTTAAAAGTTGAAAAACTTTACCTAATCATGAATGCAAGACTTGTCAGTTTTATAACTGGGGATAGCGTGACAATGCCTTGTATCATGACAAAAACCCTCAGTGGAGTCCTTTTAATTTTTCATTCTGTATATCAATCTTGACAGCTATTGTTTGTATATATTAAAATTTGTATCTGTTACAAGCACTGTATTACAAAAATTAGACAGTTCATATTCACAATAACAGTTGTTAGAATCGTTTTTAATACATAATTACGTTAATAGAATTTCATCTTAAACTATTAAATTTTTTGTCAATCAAGTACTATTAATGAAACTTGGGACAATCATAGCTCTACTTACTGTTCCCGTTTTTTCTGCTGGTTTTTGTAAAACTGTGGTAGCCATCTAAAATAAAGAATATATATATAAAAGCTTACATTTTATTGTGTGTTTTTGGATGTTTTTGTAGGACAAACATGGTCGTCATTTTCTGCCATATTAGGTCATCACTCTTCGGGTTTTGGGGGCTTTTCTTATGAAAATCAATTGGAAATGTAAGAATGAAGTCAATTCAACAAAGTGTTGGCCAAATTTGCCCTAATTTATCATTATTTCAATATTTTAAATAGTTTTTTCTGCTACATTTGTTGGCGACGCCGGTGAACGGCGTCGTCTCTTGTGGAATTCTTTTTATTTTGGCCTATGGAAGGAGCTGTTATTATTAGCAGTTAATGTCATGTTGTGTTAATTAGTTTTATTTTGATTCGTAAAAATCAAGTAAACAAATAATTATGTTGTTATATTTGATTTAATAACTTTATCTAAAAAGCATGTGCATTGTGATATTATTTTCACGAAATTGCAGGCTCAGTTTAGCAGCTTGTTATAGAATTGTATTTTGTAACGTTTGATATTGTCTGCAAAATGGCCAAATTTCTACCAAACCTGGAGTGCTTGTACATGGTGCAGTGTTCAATCTAGAACAAATTCCCAGGGGGCCCTTCGGGCCCATAAACTTTTCAAAAGGGGGTCATTTGAGAAAAAAGGGGGCCCACACTTAAAATGAACATCAAATTCAAATAAGCTATTGTATCTTTTAAGTTACTTGTTCACGTACCATATTTAGACCAAAAACGGTTGCAAAATTCCAAAACAACTCAACTAAAAAAAATGACATTAGCGTTGATACAGGCTCAAATTTAAGAACTGATTGGTAAAGAAACGCGATGATATAATGTTCAAAGAAAAATATCAATCTTAATTTAATGTTACCAGGGATATTTGACAATAATGTTCAGTTTTTTAATCAGCGCCCGATATATAAAGGAAAATCATATTTTGAAATTAGCTTTGTTTATGAAGAATATAAACTTACAATAGTCGCTAAAAACATTTACTCTTCTCAATATATCCAAGCGAAAAACAAAGTGTCAACAGGTGCTAAGACAATGTATATTGACATACCGGTACCTTTGATCTTTTGTCAGGGCAGCAGTTCTTACGTCACGCTTAAGATGTCTGTATTGATTAATGATATGCACAATGTTTTAGCGCCGACCAGCCAAAGACCAATCAAAGTTAATTTACTTAATTGTCAGACACTCCCTAGCCAATCGTGTTTGATTGCTCCATCTTTAAGACATTTTTAATTGGATGAAGGCGTGTTCGTATTAATTTATGCACACTTCTCTATAATTAACTCGCATTTTCACATACATATATATTTTTTTTTCCTTTGGAAAGTTATTACATATTTATTTGTTTTGACCGTGAAAAAACTATAACTTCACGCACGTATTGGATTATCTATGACGATTTGTTTTGCTTATAAAAACTGTGACTCAAAAGTAAGTAATAGTTACGGTACAAACAGGTCTACATAGTATTTACAGACGCGGACCGAGAGAGCGTAGCGATAAAGGTTTTAAATGGGTTACCGAGTGCGGTAAACTATCTTACCAACATGCTCTTGTTTTTCAATACAAACTTCAGTTTTGAATTCAGTATTTATTAATATTATTCACAAGAAACTTCTTTTATGTACTTAATCAGGTTTAAGAAAGCATTCTAATGTCATTTAGGGCATTTTCTATGAGTGCGCCCATCGGGCCCACAGTTGATTTTGTTTTGCGCCGGCGGCCTTTTCAGGGGGTCAATGGCGCAATGGCACGCTCTAGATTGAACACAGATGGTGTAGAGGTTACAGATCAGCATACATGCCATTTTCCCCGCCGGGGGACAAAATCCCCCGATTTTTTAAGCAAACCCCCGACCCCCCGCCGTCGGACCAAAATCCCCCGATTTTTAAAAAGAAAAAAAAATCATCAATTTTTCTGATTAAATTACCGATTACACGTCAATGTACACAACACCTCCAGTATAAGCGTGTTTACAGCTTATCGCCTGCAGGGACGTCGTGTGTACTGCAGTTAACTCGATAAAGTGTGTATACAACAGGTGTCTAATTACAGGCCGTGTATATGTCATTATTCTGTGTTTTTAAGTGGCATGTTTGTCACAGTGGATTAAATTGGTTTTGATCTTTTAATTGTTTTCGGTGCAGAGCGTTTGATATATTTATTTTATGTGCTAAGGTGCGATCTTATTAAATAAGAAGGAGTTTAGACAATATTGAAATGCGTGAAAACATGCATAATTACGGTGTTAATTTTTCTTTTAACATGCATAATTACGGTGTTAATTTTTCTATGACAAAATGACTCGTTAATCTTCATTCGCATTTTAATCATGAAACGTGTGTGTTCTCCCGACCCTAAGTCGGACACTAAAAGAAATCAAAGGGCTGCAAGCTCTGTGGTATTTTCTGATCCCTGGAATTTAAATCGTACTGTATATCTGTACTGTGTTTTCCTGTATAAGTTTATTTTTATGTACTATAAGTCATCTTGCAGGGCACCAGAGTTTGATACATACGGAATCTTGCATAACTAGAGTTGCATCAAAAAATAATTTATGTTCATTTTTATGATAGCCACACTTTATCCTTGCATATCGTGGCTATTTCCTTAACAAAGACACTAAAAAAAAGAATTAAAAAAATGTTGACCCGACTGGGATTCGAACTCCGGACCTCTCACACACGAAACGAGTGCGTTACCCCTGCACCACGGAGAAGTTTTATAATCAACAGCTGAATAAAATCAAGTCATTCTAAATTTAGAATTTCCGTTGCATTTCGGGTTAGGGTAATCGAGGTATTTTGTTCAGGGTAAACCTGTTGTTTAAAATTGAAGTAAATAATTTAGCAAAAATCTTCTCGCCCAAACAGTCCAACATGTAGAAACTATATATTCAACTACTCGGAAGTCAGATTTATTTGTGTAGTATCGCTAAAATAGCATTTTCATTGATTAAAATCCTATTCATCCGCGTAATTTGTGAGTGTGCATTTGTTGACAAATCTATAAGCCAACGCTACTTTAAAAGTTTGAAGGTGTAGTAATTTGTTGGACACTTGTAATAAAAAATTGTTCTTTCTTTTAAATTGCTGGTTTTTAAGCAGTTTTGAGTGAGAACTAATTTGCGTTGTTAGGACTGTTAGGAAATTTTGTGTTAGACCGTGGATGTTAGCTATGTATTATCTGATCTGCGATCAGAAAATACAAAAAGTATCTTGCCAAGTATCAAAGTAACTGGAAAACAGAATTTCCATGGGTCACTTCAAGTAAAAAAGGTGTTCACCATGCGTATTGTAGTTCCTGCCAATTAGACATAAATGTGGGACACACTGGCAGGGTTGTCATTAAGAGGCGGCAGGAGGCCAAAATGCCTGTCTCAAATGCATTATGGGCCGCCTCAAAATAAAGAAAACACCCTTTGTTATGCATGATAAAGACAGAAATGACCGCCTCAATTTCAAAACAAACCTTCTGCAAAAAATGTTAATGACAACCTTGCACTGGGAAGACAGACATATTAAAACATGCCAATACAGAGAAACATAAAATGAACATTGGATCGACTGTTTTTAATAAGAAAGTGAACTCCATGTTTAAAGTATCTCAACCTCAGGATGCCGTCAGTAGAGCCGAGTTGATGTTTGCTAAGTTTGTGGTTGAACACAACTTACCATTTACAGTATGTGATCATTTCAGTGACTTGAGTAAAAAAATGTTTCCGGATTCTGATATAGCTAAGAAATATGCTTCCAAGCGGACGAAATGTACTAATATAGTAAATCGTGTTATGGGCCCAGAACTAGATGATCATGTGAGCCATTTATGTAAAAATGGGAAAATTTCAATTATGGTAGACGAAAGCAATGACCAGGGAGACAACAAGTTCCTAGCAATTCTTCTGAGAATATTTGACCCACAAATTCAGTGTGTTAAAACAAAATTCCTTGCCATGCCTGTATGTAACATTGGGACAGCAGAGAACCTGTTCAATGCTATTGACACAGTATTTAGGTAAGTTTTAAAGCTTTTTTTTCTGTTTAATTTTAAATATTTTTTAATATTATAAGTGTATTGTAAATTGAGTTTCATTAAGTTTCATTTCACTATGACATCGATTTTAAATGATTGATGTTATGGTCTTAATTTTTTAAATGCACATGCTATAATAGCACAAAGCCTTGATGCTACTTACATCATGTAATGCAACTTATTATGAAATATCGATTTGTTTTACAGAGACAGAGGTATTCCTTGGTCTAACTGCGTTGGGTTTGGTAGTGACAACTGTAATGTGATGATTGGGAACAACAAAAGTCTTCTAACCAAAATCCGTGAGAAGAATCCTGACATCATTAATGTGGGCTGTGTTTGCCATCTAGCTAACCTGTGTGTCCAGGCAGCCCGCCGGCAAAGACTCTTCCAGTAGCTGTAGAAGAGATACTCATAGACATCTTCTTCCACTTTCACCATAGGTTAGTTAATTAACATCATTAAAGTCATTTTAAAAGGAACACAAAAAATTTCAAATTGAACATTTAATTAATTTTGTATTATTCAGAAACAGAATTAAAAAATCAGATGTATATATCATTATACTTAATATAATTTCAATATTTTTTGACTTGTAAAAACCTGATAGAGCTAACTAATATCTCTTGTTATCTGCTAATGCATTTATTGACTGAGCATGTTTCATAATGTTTTTTCAGTGCGGCTGCCAAGCGGAAGGAGATCTATAAAGAGTTCCAAGAATTCACTGACACAGAGCCAATGAAGATAGTCAAACACTGTGCCACCCGTTGGCTTAGCCTTGAGAAGTGTGTAAAGAGGGTACTACAGCAATGGCCGGCCCTTTGTAGCTACTTCCAATCCCACGATGACAATGAGAAACCTGGCAGGGTAAAACGCATTGCCGATAGCCTGACAGACCCCCTGACATGGCTGATCTTCTCCTATCTAGATCATATCATTCCCCTGATGACAGACTTCAATACAACATTCCAGATACAGTAAACAATCAATAAAGAAATATTAAATTGTAGATATGTTAAAGGGACAATCTTTTTAAAAATACAATTTTTTAAACTATAATTAATTTTTATCATGGGCCTGACCTGTAAAAATTCAAAATTCACATTGAAATTTATTTACAAGCATTGTTAATTGTTTGAGGACTGTACTTAAGAAAATGCATTTAATTATGTTAATATTATGTTTCTTGCTTGCAGGCTGGAGCTCCTATGGTTGGTCACCTTCACACAGAGATGCAACGTCTTATGAGGAAGCTCCTAGGAAAGTTTGTCACCTCGCAGACTATCATAGCAGCAAGGGACGTTACTACCATTTCTTTCAAAACTGAAGAGGTGCAACATCCCAATGACAACATTGCCATAGGTTTAAGGACACGAGAGTACATCAATGACAATGAGGACACGGTCACCATACCCCAAGAAACCATAGTCAAATTTTATCAGCATGTGCGTCTATTCTACATTACACTGACATCTTCTCTGGTGAAAAAATTCCCCTTCAAAGATGACGTACTAAAGACCTTGTCCTTCCTTAATCCAGAGACCAGAGACAAGGCATCCCCTGAAGCTGGTAAATAAAACAATATTTATTTATATATTTAGCCAGTTTGAAAAAAGTATAGTCTTTTTAGAATACTCTATTCAAGATGAATTTAAGTTAACAATTCTTGTTTCATTATTTATCTAAATGAAATGATTCAAAAAAGGCAATAAATATATACAGTGTAACTTCCGAATTCCGGAACTTCTGAAATCCGGAAACTTCTAAAAACCGAACAATTTTTTCGGTCCCGATTTTTTCCCTTCTATTTTCTATTAATATAATACTTCTGAATTCCGGAACTTCTAAATTCTGAATTCCGGACGATATTTTCGTACAATTAGAGTCAAATCAATGCAATTTTACCTCCGAAAACCGGAAATATCCAAAGGTGTGAAATACATTGTAAATCGAGAATGTTTACCCTGCAGGAAGATTTAATCTCCCTATCGATTGTTTACTAATTAGCGGTGATCGTGTAATTTGACACGCGTTAAAATCACAAACTGTGAAATGGTATGTTTGAAGTGATGCGGTTAATCAAAGTAATTTACCGCGGTCAGTTAATTTGAAGTGTTTATTAGCGGATTAAATCACAATTAGTTGGGACAATGTATGCATCAAACGTCTTGAGGGATTTTATTGCATTTGATGTAATAATTAATTAACTAGCATCGGACGATATGTAAGTTTATGCAATTAACAACATTTCTACAAACTGGTAGAAATTCAAAAGCATTTGCAGGTGTAAGATAAAAATGTATTCTTTTCATTCACATCTTTATTTTGATTAAAAGACTATTATATATGATATTACAGTAATGGCCACATCTTCCTTGACATTTAGTGATATTAAGTGGCTTAGTCTTGTCCACATTATCATAAACCTCTGAATTCCGGAAACCTCTGAAATCCGAACTTTTTGACAAGTCCCATGGGTGTTCGGTTTTCGGAAGTTACACTGTACAAATGTTCTTGACATACTTTATTTGTTTACTTGTCTTCAGTGGTGCAGCTAGGGAAGAGGGTCCTTCCTGACATAGACATTGATAAGCTTCAAGAAGAAGCAGAAGAGTACAATGTAACACCAATGGAGTCACTCCCCCCCTATCGTGAGGCTATCGTTTCAAAAGTACCAGATGTTGAAACAATGGAGGAGGTAACAGAGGCATCCCTACAGTCATTCTGGGTAAACATGAGAAACAGAACTCTTCCTGGAAGAGCCCAGAAGCAGTTCAGTGTGCTAGGTGGTGTTGCCTTGGCTTGTTTGACAATTCCCCATTCAAATGCTGACCTTGAACGATGTTTCAGTATCCTTAGAAAAATCCAAACTGACTCAAGACATGCACTTTCAACTGAAACGATCCATAGTTTGATAAGTGTCAAGTTTAACGAACACCACAGCTGTGTGGAATATAATTATACCATCAGTTGAATCAGTAAGAAAGAGTAAGAACTGTTCGAATTGAAAGACATCTAGATCTATGTGGATAAACTGAAAAGTACTAATTAATTAAATTAGTGAAAAGTAGTGGACAATGACAGTTTTGAGTAAAAGATATAATATGCAAGCAGGCTTCGCGAAAGTTGCCGGACCGTCGGACATGTCCGGCAAAAATCAGGCCGGTCCGATATTTTTTTTCGGAGTTCCGGACCTTATGTCCGGTACGAATACCGGGATATATCCAAGACCGATCAAGACCGAGTTTTCTCCCTTGAATAAAAAAAATGTAAAACGAGTTTTGATTCGCCGTTTCCTTTTAAGTGCCCAATCAAATTCTAGATACATACGACTGTCAATAACCAAAATGTCGGTGTTTTTACAATACTACGCTGGCGCTACGCCCGGAAAAAAACGCAAACTGTCAAATGAAGAAAAAAAAGAAAAACAGAAAGAATACGAGGCCAGGCGCCCGCCGCGAAAATTTGTTGACAAGTGGAAAAATGGTCGCTCCTGGTTAGTTTTCCTGGAGGAAGATAAGAAGATGAAATGTGCACTATGTTCTAATTTTTATAAAGATCGTGCAATGGACGATCGCATATTGTCTAAAAATACATTCATATTGGGTTGTGGCAACCTAAAAATTTCTGCAATTGAGGACCATGAAAAATCAAAAAGTCATGAGAAAGCCGTCACCAGTGAAATGTCAAAAAGTAGGACAGTTGCTGAAAAAATGAATTCTGATGCTGGCAAGTCACTGAAAATGTTGAAGCAAGCGGAAAGACACAAGGTTGCCTACCTGTTCAGAAATGCACATGCTGTTGCAAAACAAAATCGTCCCATATCTGACTATAAATGGCTGTGTGAGGTAGATCAAGCTAAAAAGCTGGACATTGGTAATACATATGTAAATGATAAGGCTGCTGTTGATTTCATTAGCTGCATTGCACAGTGTGAAAAAGAAAAGACTGTACAAATTCTAAATGACAGTTCATTCTTTTCATTCATGATGGATGGAACAACCGATATATCTGGAGGTAATATATACTTTTTCAAAAGATGTTGCACTTTAATTTTTTAATAGATCTTAACCTCTCAGTTTTTTGATGGTGTTTAGAAACTTTAATGCCAGTATTTGTAGAGTGACTGCAGACATAACTGAAGATAATCTGGTTAACCAATGGAGTCTTCTGAAGAAAATTGTCACAAAAAAGTAATTTGGAATTCATTCAAGTTTTTAAAACAACACTAAATGTCTGATTGTCTCTGATTGTTTATTTTATCCAAGATCAAATTTGAAATGTTGTACAATATAATTATCAATTCTATTACGTCATACAACTTCCGTGCTCAAATGAGATGTGCATAGACCGTATCAATATTCCTCAGTGCGTTTTTGCTTCTCGTAGGGTGCAGTCGTATTTCTACGGTAGCTGACCGTTTACCTTGACGGATTCGTTCGTTCACGTTTTAGACAATTCATTGTTCTTATCAGTCTTATATATATTGCTATTTGTAGCAATACTCTATTATTTTATTGTTATTCGTAACAATTTGAGACAATTTTATAATATTTGTTCGCAAATATTGATTATTTGCCATTGTCGTATTTTTTACGAAAATATATATTTTACGACATAACCACGTGCGTTAATAGAGTTGCTTTACGACGTCGCGTGGAAAAATGGCAGATAAAGAAGTGCAGTTGAAAACACGGGGAAAAAGACCACAAAAGTCTCCCAAAGTGAAATAACCCCAGTAACTACCACAACTAGCTCGTCTAGTCTTTCATCTTTGTTAATTTCAAGTGATAAGGCTGCTACTAGCGGCAGTAGCGGTAAACAACCTACGAAACAGTTGCCAACAAAGGAGAGTGGTGTAACGAAAGAAGTGTTATTGATATTAAAGGAAATGAATGCAAATCTGAATGCACAAGCCACTCGCTTGGAAAAACAAGAACAAAAATTACAGTCCTTCACTGAACAGATTGCTGATCAAGAGTACGGTGACTTTAATGATTATAATGACTATGAGTGCCAAGAACAATATGATGATGATGCATGTATGTCTGAACAAGCATCCATTCTTTCAAGTGCTAAGAAAACTACTGGGGGAGGCATATTTAGTTCATTAGTGAACAAATTCCAGCAGGAAGATGCCGTTGATAGTGAAGTCAATGATGACCTGGCACATTTTGTCAACATGTCGTTTAGAAGTGGTTTGACGGAAGATAAACTGTCAGATATAGTGAAGGACATACACAGGCCACAGAATTGTGAGGCGTTGGTTAAAACCAGAGTCAACCAGGGAATCTGGAGACTACTGAAAATGCATACACAGGCCGACGACAACCGAATGCAGGTAATCCAAGATTTGATCATCAAAGCCACATCCAACCTTGTCAAGCTTATTGACAAGAATGCTGACTCTTTAGACCCTTGTGATATGGACTGGAGTTCAAACTCTATTGCGTTGCTTGGACAGGCAAATAAGTTGATAAATATTCGCCGGAAAGAACTCCATAAGTCGGATCTAGATCCGAAGTACCATTATTTGGCTTCAGCATCTCTCCCATTCACTGATCACTTATATGGTGACGATACAGACGTCAACAAGAATGTGAAGGAGATCAATGACCTGAACAAGATTGGTCGTAATCTTGGTCGAGGATTCCCTCGGGGCAACTATCGTGGCTATGTTAGCAGACGCCCTCATCCTTATTACCGACGAGGGTTCCGTGGTAGAGGTCGTGGTCGGCCAGACATATCGGCAGCTTCAAAAAATGTCAGGATGGCGCCCAAGAAGTAGAGCAGGTTGGTATTTTTAAAGCTGGTAGATTGAAGGATTTTATTGAAAATTGGAGAAAAATAACCAGTGATGATTCAGTGTTGGATATTGTTCAACATTGTCACATTGAATTTAAAGAGGGTGTAAATCCCATTAAAACTTTTTCTTACATTAACCATTTCACACCTGAAGAAAATGACATTGTAGATAAAGAAATAGAAAAATTATTAAAAATGGGTGTTATTACAGAAGTTGAACATCATCCTGAGGAATATATTTCTCCAATTTTCATACGACCTAAAAAGAATGGTGAATATAGAATGATTTTAAATTTGAAAGAATTAAATGAATTTATTGAATATCATCATTTTAAAATGGATACATTTGAATCTGTATTAAAATTAGTCAAACCTGGCTGTTATTTTGCATCAATTGATTTGCGTCATGCCTACTATTCTGTTCCAATTGCAACAGAACACAAAATTAAGCTAAGATTTCAGAAGTCAGGTAAAATCTACCAGTACGAAGCTCTTCCAAATGGTATTTCTTGTGCGCCAAAACAGTTTACTAGGCTCATGAAGCCAGTTTATGCATCTCTACGCATGCTTGGACATAAGAATTCAGGGTACATAGATGATTCATTGTTAATGGCAGACACAATCTCAGAATGTAGAGAAAATGTGTCTGACACCGTCAATTTAATGACTGATGTTGGCTTTATGATACATGATAAAAAATCAGTACTTGAACCCATTCAAAAAATTACCTTTCTCGGTAACAATATCGATTCTAAAGAAATGATTGTAACTTTGCCAGTAGAAAAAGTAAATGGAATTGTCCAAGCATGTGTAGATTTGAAAAACCGTAATCATGCAAAGATTAGGGCCGTTGCTAGAGTTTTGGGTCTCTTGGTTTCCACTTTCTCTGCAGTTGAGTTTGCTCCTTTGTATTATCGTGATACAGAGAGGGAAAAAATTATTGCTTTAAAAGAAAATAGAGGAGATTATGAGTCCACCATGATGGTAACTCAATCAATTAAAGTTGAATTACAATGGTGGATTGATAATCTTTTTCAACAAAAGCGGAGAATTTCTCATGGAAACCCAAGCACTGTTATCACTTGCGATGCCTCGATCCAAGGCTGGGGATCAGTGTGTGAAAATTTAGAAACTGGTGGTCGATGGAATGACCAGGAGGCCCAAAACCATATAAATTTCCTGGAACTGCTTGCTGTAAGCTATGCATTAAAATCCTTTTGCAAAACCACAACTAATAGCCATGTTCAGATAAGATCAGACAATACATGTGCAATCTCCTATATTAAGAACATGGGAGGCAAAATACAGAATTTAAACAGTCTTGCAAGACAAATCTGGTTGTGGTGTTGTGAAAGAAATATATGGCTTTCAGCAACACACGTTCCTGGAATAGACAATGAGGCTGATGCTAGTTCGAGAAAATTCAATGACAATACTGAGTGGATGCTAAATGATGGGTTGTTTTCAGAATTGGCAGACATATTTGGGCAGCCCGAAGTAGATTTATTTGCTTCCAGGTTAAACAAACGTTTGCCAAGATATGTCTCTTGGAAACCAGACCCGGAAGCAGAAGCTGTAGATGCTTTTTCATTAAACTGGAAAGGAAAATTTATTTATGCTTTTCCTCCTTTCAGTCTGATTGGTCGTCTGGTGCAGAAGGTACTGCTAGACGAAGCAGAGATGGTCCTGGTGGCGCCTGTTTGGGTAACTCAGAACTGGTACACAGCAGTTTTGGAAATGTTAATAGACATCCCACTAATCATCAAAGTAAGTCGCAACACACTACGAATTCCGGGCTTGAACAAAATTCACCCTCTTGTAAACAAACTCCATTTGATGGCATGTCATATATCAGGAAATCATTCGAAAGCAGAGAACTTTCGGAAAAGTCTGTCGAAATCATCATGGCGTCATGGAGACGCTCCACTAAGAAGCAATATTCATGTTACATCAACAAATGGGTTCTTTTCTGTCGTGAAAGGCAAAGTAATATATTTCAAACCTCTATAGACTTTGTGATAGAATTTCTTACAGAACTTTTTAATAAGGGTTATAGTTATGAAACTTTGAATTCAGCAAGGAGTGCATTGTCAATGCTTTGTGAATCACATGAAGGGTATAATGTCGGCTCACACCCGTTAGTTGTGAGATACATGACTGGTGTGTATAACTTAAGACCTACAAGATCAAAGTATACAGAAACGTGGGATGTTTCAAAACTTCTGAGTCACCTGAAGACGTTGCCACCAGTGAATAATTTGACATTGAAAATGTTAAGCTATAAGTTAGCAACACTTATTGTTTTGACTCAGGCAAGTCGTTCTCACTCTGTAAGTTTATTAACTTTAGAAGGTATGAAAAAGGATGAGAATTCCTTTATTTTGTATTATTGTGGGCTTTTGAAACAATGTCGTAAGGGTAAACGTAACCCTGTTGTAAATTGCAAGAAGTATACTCCAGATAGGAGGTTGTGTGTATATAGTACATTAGAAGAATACATATCGCGTACTAAACATTTGCGTGGAGAAGAAAAAAGGTTATTCATAAGTTACATTAAACCATACAAGTTTGTTGTCTCAACAACTATCAGTAGGTGGATAAAATGTGTAATGAGAGATGCAGGTATTGACGTTGATAAATATAAAACACATAGTGCCAGGGGAGCAGTAACTTCCAAGGCAAAGCAGAGTGGAGTTCCGCTGAATGAGATCATGAAAGTTGCTGGATGGGCAACAGAGAGGACATTTGCTCAGTTTTATGAGAAGCCACTGGAAACAGAGGTATCCTTCCAGTCCGCAGTATTACAGTAACATGTCAGATACAGGTAAAAAATATACATACGTTACTGTTGAAACATTTACATGTCTTATAGTAAGTGACTCGTAGCCCATAAAAGTTATGTCCTCTTGTGTCGAAGTCTCATTTGAGCACGGAAGTTGTATGACGTAATAGAATTCCCCCAAACAAACTAGACTTACCTGTAAGTTGACGTTGGGTTGGAATTCTATGTAGTCATATAACAACTGGAGGGATCAAATGCCCTCCCACTCCACCCAGAAAAACATTTAATGTTACAGTTACATATATTAATACCTAAAGAAAATGTTACTTTTTGATCCCGTTCTGGGACATAACTTTTCTGTTAACGTTTTGAAGACTGAGGAATATTGATACGGTCTATGCACATCTCATTTGATCCCTCCAGTTGTTATATGACTACATAGAATTCCAACCCAACGTCAACTTACAGGTAAGTCTAGTTTGTTTGGGGGAAATATACAGCATGATGATATTGTAAAGTTAAAATGTAAATAATTCTAAAAACTTTTAAATCTTAATAGGGGTGAATTTGATTTCATCTTCATCACAATTTCAGTTTTTATAATCTTTTGCTCAATTTCAGGTATGGAGGGAAGATGTCTTCTCTCTCTTGGAAGACTGTACTACAGGAAAACTGCGACTTTCAACAGATAGCGCTTGTCATAGATGTAATGTTAACCATTCCCTCCACAAGTGTGAAGTGTGAAACAGCCTTCTCCCAACTGAAACTTTTAAAAACCTGTAGACGGTCAAAGCTTGGGACTTCTGTTCTAAATGACTTGATGATTGTCAAGTTACAATCTCCATCAATAGCAAACTTTGACCCAGAAGATGCTATTGAAAAATGGCTGGTAAGATGCATGTAAATTATCTAAAAATGTTATTAAACATTAGATCACTCATTAATAAACTAAAATATCATTTCTATGTGTAATATCTTACATGTTTCCTTTCTCACTAAAACAATACTGTCAGGAAACCTGTAATATTTTCAGGTTTACTGTAAAAAGCAAACACTGTACTAATTCACTAAAGATCTTGTTTTCATTACACCTTACAAACTTTTCTCACCAGCCTAAAAACATAGTTAGATTTTAATAATCTTGTTCTTGTTCCTCCAGGCTGCATCAGTAATGGGACGGCGTACAACTTATATCAGAAGGCCCAAATCTACACCCGTCACTACCACAGTGGTCACTGACAGTGAGGCCCTCAGTGAGAATAATGCAACTGACACTGAAGAAATTGTACCAGTACCCAGTTATGATATAGATACTGCAGAATCAAGACCATCCGTTTCCACTTACTCTATTGACATGCTGTGTGATAAGGACTCTGATTATGATGATGATGATTTTGATCATGAATCAGAATGTTTTGATTTTCAGACAGAGTCAATCAATTTTGATAAACTGATGTTTTATCTAAGGGAATAAAATGGCTTCAAATCTTTAAAAGTTGTTATGTCTTTAAAAAAAACACAAAGGTATTACCATATACATATATTTGGATTTTTTTTTCGGTCAGACAAAAGTTCTTTCGGTCAGACAAGAATTGAAAGTTTGTCTGACCGAATGTCAGGCAAATTTTTCAGCAGTTTCGCGAAGCCTGTGCAAGTGGATTATGTTCTTTTGAATTTATTTTTCACTTAACAGAAAATGATATGCCATGCCATGAATGACATTCTCATTTGTTGAATTTATTTTGCAGTTAACAGAATATTATTTATCATGAAATAAAGTGTGAAAATAACAATGTTTTGTGCATATTTATGATTACGAGTGATTTACTCCTGCTTGAACCAAAATCCCCCTATTTTTGGTCAAATCCCCTGCTTTTTAAAGCCAAATCCCACTATCTGGGTGTCTGGAAATATGGCATGTATCTATGGATCAGTGTTGCATCTAGAATTTCCAAATTATGGGGGATTGTCCCCCACTCAACTGAAAAATGTGAGCGATTTGAAAAAATGTGGGGGACATACATTTACCTTACAATATGACTTATCAAAAAGAATTCATTTATTTAATGTTCAGGCATTTTTGACAGCTATCATCCGCTCAAAAACGGAAGTAGAAAAAATAAAATATTGACGAATACTACAAAACACACGTGAGATGACCCAGTCGGCTGCTACAAGCGATTTAGTACGTAATTTAGTCATAACCACGAGTGAAAACAAACATGGCTGAAGCGTTCAAGATACGATGAAGATAAACTGAATAAAGTTGACAAGATCGTCAGATGCGCGACTTTGCGTGCGTTTACTTCATTAAAATCCACGATCTCCAAAAAAAATGTGCAAATCGCGTAGCCTAGATGCAGCACTGTCAGATACAAATAGCAAAATCTATGAGGTTTCTTTACTTTAATACATAAATCTTACACAAAAAGAAGTATTGGTTGAGCAGTGGCCTAGTCCAGTAGATGTATAGTGACTCTATTTAAATTAAATATCTGAAAATGATTTAGCGAAATAAAATATGGAGATTTTATGGAATATTTTTCTTGCCACAAATTTATTCATTACTGGTTTTCTAGCAGTTTCCGTCCCCTAGCAGTTTTCCGGACGTTTGTCATTTCCGTCCAGTACAGCCTATTTTTTACCAGTAAGGCATCCACATTACTTTATCAATCAGAGAGACATTTGTTTTATTTGCTAAACATCATTTAAAATAGTACAACGATTGATATATTTTGAAATTTTGCCTGTTATTTAAAGTTACATAAGAGAACTTACGACTTTCAAAAATACACCTGGGGAATTCTAGTTTGAATATCCATGCGCAATAACTAAGACCCCGTTTTAGGTAAATCAGTACTTCGGAACATATTTTTGCAGACGACACGGAAAAGGTTTGGAAGTTCTGTTTGTCTGATAAAACCATCTTCACGTTGCTTTATGGTACTGAATTATATTCAAAATAAAAAAGGTCCGGAAAAATGCTATGAATTTTTGAATAAAGGTGAAAAAGGTATTACATTTCAGGCCTATATTCAAATTAAAATTAAAATGAAAGTGCAACATTAAACACATGGCAATGCTGGACAGGTACCTAACTTTGTCCTGTCAAAGTTTTGTACCCCTCCGTAGACTGACTTTTATTTTATTTGTTAAAAAGTGTGATTTGTGGCCGGAAACTGCTAGGAAACCAGTAGATCTTACAATAAAGAATAATTCTAAATTTATTGGAAGATGCTATGTGATTTAATATGAAATTTTAAAAAGTAGCGCAACTTACTAGTAGTCACTGAAAATGTAAATACCATGATATCATAAAACACATGCTATCATAGGAATTGAGTATTGTCTGGGAACCTAAATTCATCCCTGTCCTTTACTGGCTTTAGTTAACACAATTTCCGTTTATGTCCCAAAAATAGAGAAAAACTGAATCCTTAAAGAAAACAAAAAATTGCAGAATTGAAAATCATTTTAAATGTTGCAGGTTTCGTTTGATTGATCCTATTCATTGACGCTATCCACACACCAAGCACCGGCTATGCCTGATGTTTGTTAAAGAAACAATTGAATATTTTTAAACATCAAAGCATCTGTCAATTTCTTTATAATGTTACGCTTTGACTATTACCAATTTATATCGATAGTGTTTTAATTTGGCAGTATGACTATGGAAATGACGAATAATGGCCTCACGTTCTTGTGTTTTTAGGATTTGTGGGGTTTTTTTTAACAACTTCATCATATCAACATGATAAATGAGAATGATTTTCTTTCAAAATTACTTTAAAAAATACAATACCAGGCATTTAAGACACTGAAAATGAACATGAACAATATAAGCACAAAAATATACCCTTCTCTTTTCTGTTCAGCTGTTCCACAGATGACAGATGCAGACGACACGGGCGCGTGCAAAACAAAGCCCATAATGCAACTCTGTATAAAGTTTGATGCTCGGCCTTTTTAAAGAAATATGCGTAGCCCTAATGTTGTGAAAATCTAGTTCGGACCATCTTGACAAATAATAGGACGATATTTTTATGGACTCAATGTTTTCGTAAATACATAATTGAAAAAAATCTTGATGTATTTTATAAAGGAGCTGGTATCAAGTAATACACTGTACTAAAGCACTGTAGGTTCCAGCCTTGTGACTGAAAAAAAAAACGCATAAATTTGCTTTTTGAGGGTATTGATTATTAGATGTATTAGATGTAATGAATATAATGAAAACTTTAAGACGTATATTTTTCCAAATTAGAATTTATGTATGATTTTATTTATGATTTTATTATTAGTCTATACATGTATATGTAAAAAAAATCTTTAAAAAATAAACGAGTAAAGGGTGATCTCTCGTAGGCACAGATAACAGCAATATAGAGCTAACTCTAATATGAAAATTGGATTTGATCGGGTCTGTTCATGAGAGATAATGAAAAAGTGCAACATCTTTAGTGTTGACCTACAGTGCCTGCATATACAAAACGCGGACTGTCCTTCAGTAATTAACCCTTTGTACATGCGTACACGTGTACATGATTTTAGCTGAACAGTATGAGAGCTTTTCTTTCCGAAAACTTCCAAGTTTCCAGTCACTTGTTTTGTAACAACAGATATTCTTGCACCAACTACTTCCCTTGATGAAGTATATTCCAATATGTATAGGGCAATGGTTGTAGAAAATGAAATATTCTTTCGTAATACTTGCTAGGTATGAAAAAAACTTAAAATATATATAAAAATGTCAAAAAAAGTTCTTTCATAAAATATAGATTGAGTAGTAAAACGCGTCATTAAAGTCATGAACATTCGGCATGAAAAAGACAATGTCAATAAATTATAATGTCAATTCAAATAATTTAACAAGGCAAATTTTGCCATATACTTATAGTTGCAAAAAGTAAGTTTGCGCTTATATAGTTACTTTGTTCAAATTTTGTATACATACTCGTTCATGAGCAATATAGTGGCAAATCTGGTAACAGAATTTGAAAAAAAATATATTGACTGTGAAACACTTGTTTAATTTGTAATGAAATTTGATAATTATCAGAATTATAGTTTTGTCTGGGACAAATAATAATAATAATAATAACAATTGTTGTCCCAGGTTTCGTGTAGAAAGCGAATTGTGAATAGTAAAAGCAGGTAAATGTGGTAAAGGTTACAGAATTGTGTTTTTAACGCTGTTTGTCTCGTTACTTGGCCATTAATTAATCAATTTCTTATGCGATCATCTCATCTATGGAAGTGTTAAAGACTGTCTGACGTGTTGACTTAGGTTTGAATGTTTAATTTGAAAATTCAAGTATCATAAGGCAAAAGACACAATTGTTCATCCCTAAGATGTTTATAAGCAAATAAGCAATTTAAAGTTCTAACAAATATCAAATTTCAATTAAACGCAAACAATTGAGTTGTATATATATTTTTGGCAAATTTTGATACCAAATAAGTCAATGTTTTGCTTTAAAAAGTATACAAAATTTTCCTTGTATCCAAGTGCACACTTTCTTTTGTAACTTCAAATTATTAATTTGGTAATCCTTGAAAAATACTGACAGACAATCGGATTTACGCCGTGTGATGAAATTAAAGGATACCCATTGTGGTCATAGTTTAATCTTGGCTAGAATGTTTCCTTTCTTAAAATATCAAATGTGGACGGGTGTCTCCCAAAGATGTGCAAGATAAACAAGTCACTGAATAAAAACATAATATGGCTTGATATTTTTGTGAATTATTAAATTTCCGTTAATATTTTAACTCTTTTGGTGGCAATTATTTCCCAATTCAATAAACTATGTCCGTTGCACTAGTTGGTCTTGTCGTATGAAACTTTACTGTAAATATCTGGCTTTGGAAGCAACACAGTATATAAACGATTTGAACCCCAACCGGATCTTGTGAGAAGATCTCAGCATCTAAACGTACAATCAGGCGTAATGACACATTAAACTATTAAAAATCGGCTTGATTTTAATATGTTACGGTATGTTAACATTTGAATCATATTAAGAAATAATTAATCTTTGCTTAAATATACATCCATAACCTTCTTCGTAAAATATTTGCGCATAAAACGCTGTGCTCTTCGCCTCATGTTTTGTTTATGTCAACACACGCCGATTACACAACCAAATGTATGCCTAAAATTGTTTTACTTCACTATAACTCATATCTGAATCTTTAATTTATTGTCTTAACCTCATGTTACCGGACAGACACTTGTGAAAATATCTTTGAATATTGATAAAACATAGTAAATAATAGAGGCGACATTTCTGATAACTGTACCCGTCTTGCTAAAACAATTTTAATGATCTGTACCCTACTTGTGTTTTCACTGAACCATTACTTGCGAGTCTCTTTTGATGATTTTTATTGTGTTTTTGTCGTATGTTCCAAATTTTATTGTGCAGAATATGAAGTTATTGTGTCACAAGAGAAGGGTACATGTTTTAGTTCTATGTAAGTAACTAAAACTGCATATGAATGGAGGAGCTTCGTCATGTTTTCACTGTTTTACGAATCAGAAAGTCAATTATTTCTTGATAGGAATAATTAACTAACAAACCTCATTTTCACTTACCATTCATTTTTCTTTGGAAAGATATAAAGCTAAAATATTACATATGTACTATAATTTTTTTTACATTTAGTTCAACGGCATTGTTGTTAGTTTTGACATAACGTCACGTATCAATAAACCTCGAAATATCATTACAACATTTTTTTGCAGATTACTTATTTCAACATGTTGAAAGCTTTACACCTACCGTTGATTTCATTCTGCTTTTTTAAACACTGTTTTATATTCTCAGAAATTCATTGACTTTCTATTTAATTCTGACATGTACAACTTTTATTCTTGTATATCTTTCATAGGCGTCGACACTTTTGGCATCTTTTTAAACGGAGAATATTCGGGAAATTTTGAAATTTTAATTGTTAGTGTTTCAGCTATTGGTGTTATAAACTTCTTTTTTTTCGTTTACGTTATTGGCTGTGACGCTGACATTTTTAAGTTTATCATTATTTATTCTTATTTTCAAGTTGCAGTCTGGATGGCGAATAATTATAATTATGTGGTCAATGATGGTATTGAAATGATGGTATTGAAATTCGTAGTCTTTACTGAACAGTATATGCAGTTGTATTCTTCCATGGTGATCCGAAAGAAAAATATACATAGCATTATATATTTTATTAAACAAATGATTAACAATATTATCAGTTAAACCAATTCCCGGTAAATACTTTAGATCCCACCTTCTATACTAAAATTCTATTACAATCATTTATATTTTCTGGCAATAATTGATACAAAATCGCAATGATCGTAAACTTTTTCTCCAATAAATCTTTTAAAATACTCACAAGTCAGGGTACAGATAAAATTAGTAAACTCACAAGTAGGGTTCACAATCACCAGCAAGTAACGTTCAGTTTACGGAAATTACCTCCTTGGTAAAACTCTTAAATTTATGTTCAAGATACAGCAATATGTTATGCATATGACTAAATTATCGTTTGTTATTGATTACTTTAGTAGTTCGATATCACAATTCAATGTTTAATTAAATCAACATTGGAATAAGACGGATTTTTGTTCGTGTTCAGTGTTGATCACCTGAAAGCTGTTCGTGAGTTTCGATTATTTTATAGCCTTCGTGCTAACGTTTATGTTTTGCATAACTTAGACGTTTAATGAAGTTTCTCTCTTATAATATAAATATAGATTTACTAACCTAACGTCCATCAGTATCAATATAATACCAATATCGTAAACAAGTAAAGTGGCAGAATATGGCTGACACTAAAATCTTCTCACAAGATCCGGTTGGGGTTCAAATCGTTTATATACTGTGAAGCAATAATCACTACAAAATTACATGAAAATTGCAGGCTCGGTTTGATTTAGTCTGTACACGAGGTGCAACATCCCTGATCCCCCCCCCCCACCTCTAGCACCGGCTTGAGCGGTATTTTTATTTAATAAAAAAAGAGGCAAAAAAGAGTATGTTACAAAAAGACCAGCTAGTTGATGACAAACTTTATAAAGCCTTGTCAAAATAAAAGGAACATGAATCACTACAATATAAATGTCTTATGCTCCTCTAGTTTACAAGTAAAATTCAAATATTGGTGACCTATGATAATAAAAACTAGATATAATGTTAAAATCAATGGTCTGTTCATTTTCGCTATTTATACCTAGGTTTTATAGTGGATCATTCTGTAAGGTACAAAATCCGAATACATGTATGTCCCTATGAATATTGACCTACATTTATAAATTTAATTTATCTTCTGTTAATGAAACTTAACACATTTTCGCTGGTGTTTTCAAATAGTTTATTATTGTTATATTTAAGTAACAGGTTCCCAAAGTGCTAAAAATTTCATTTTTTTCCCAAGTTAGTGTCAAATGTCACCAATTTGGAGGACTAACTGAGCGAAAAACGATGATCTGATTTTAATGAGATTGATAATTTGGCTTCTTTGTTTTTGTTGTTTTTTTTTCTTTGTTATTGTTGCTGTTTTTTTTTTTAAGAAAAGTGAAATAAAAATACAGGAAAGTTAAATGCATGTACATCACTACTGTATCTTGCGGGTGACAATAAATGAAAAACATCAATATGAAAGAATATATTTTATTTCATCGATGAAAAGATACATATAATGCTTACATTATCAGAGAGTAAAAGCTTGCACAAGAATTATCTATATTCTTACATATTTGATTCAAACTCCATAAAAATCACAATTATCATACATTTATCTCTGTAATTCCTTCAATTCTTTCTGTAAATATTTTTTGCAAAACATTTTGCTTGCAGATAAAAAACTATTCTTTTAAACAGATATTTTAAACTTTATTCGAAAATATCTATCGACCAAATATCGTTAACCACATACAAGTAACAATAACTGGTTATTTCTAGTAGATCTAAAATGTCTGAAATTTTTTAGTGAATTGTTCAAATAATTTAAATCCATCAATTAATCAAACTGCCCATCAGATAACAGCATGTAACAAACATTCAACATTAGAAATCATTAAATAACATATGAAACATTTCAATGTCTATCACAAAATGCAGTAATTCATGACCCCATTTTAGGACACTCTGGGCTCAAAAAGTTTCTAGGCATAACATACTTGTCTTGTTTATCCCTGCAAATATAAAAAAAATAAGTTTTAATATTAGGTTTATATACAAAAAATATTTATACAAATTATTTCCTATATATCCTACCAGCAGAAATCTAGCTATAAATATAACAATGTTAATTTTTCCAAACTTTTTTTACCTCCCTTTATTGTACAAAAAAGTTGTCATTTTTTTAGCCATATTGTAAATCAAAAGTTATCAATTTGTTTATATCTTATTAGGATGCACCCAGATGATATCAGTACATCATGTAGAGCTTTAAACACGATTTTTATTTTTGAAAGAAAAAAGTCACATATCGAGTTAAGTACACTGTGGTAAATGAGTAATATATACTAGATTTTTCACAAATACAAGTTTTAGTTTTATGTTATCCTGAAGACCTTAAAACAAGGTCCTTAGACAAAATGCTTCCAGTATGTTGTTTAAGTTATTTGGGAGGAACTGCTGGAATAGCAAGTAGAAAGCACAAGGGCATGTATACAAATTGACACAAGTTCTCATACTGATGGACACAAGTTCCCAGAGACAGAAAGACACAAGTTCAAAAATAGATGGACATAAGTCGGTACACCAACATAAAAAACTATAAAATATACTCATATGATACTTACACATCATATTGTAAATATGTAAAGACTTCATTAATCTGTGTTTGTGAGATTTCCCCATCTATCTGTGCAAGGTAAGTGTAAATATCTTTAAACAATTGGAAAGGTATTCTTGCTGCACCACCCTCGGGGTCTGCCGTTAAAATCTCGCATACTGTCTTCATAGCCGCTGTGATATTCTGTTAATAATAAAAAAATTACATATATTTGATTATCCTATAATAGCAGGCATTAAAAAATATTTTCAGAGTCACATGTCCTGCAGGACAAGTAGCTTCTAAATCCAATGTGCAGGCAATATTTTTCTACTATTCCTGCATCAAGTTCTCCTAAATTCTACTCTATTTACAAGCAGACAAGTGGAATTTTTGAGCTCTGCTATATCAACAAAAGCTCTGACTTCCTTAGAAAAGAAATAGAAATAAGCATTAAGGCTATCATCCATTTTGACCATAAGATAAGCTGGACATATAATGGGTTTCAGGTCAATTAGGGTCAAAACCATGCTTCCAATATGACACAAGTACTAGATAGTTTCTGAGAACAGATTCCAGAGTGGTTTATATTAGCCATATGTAGAATTAAACTTAAAATAAACAGGGCTTTTTTCACAGGTTTGGAAAGCAGCCCCGTCATTAATTTTTGGGGGAAATTATTTAGTATTCTTGCAAAAGGGGAAGAAAGAACTTTATGTAAATTCAAATTTTGGGGAAAACTGCAAGATTCTCAAGAATATTTCTTTGGGAAACCGCCCTTGAACAGCCCCTGCTATAGAAGGAAAAAAGTCCTGATAAATAATGTTTAAATTCAATAAAAAAACGGTTTTTTTTTCACATGAAGAGGAACATGTTTATACAAAAAGAAACAGGAATTTAAGTCATTGATAACATAAACACTTCAAAACTATACAAGTGATGAGAACTAGCAAACTTGCTTAGCATCCTTAAGTCTTAAGTGAAAAAAAAAAAAAAAAATATCTATCGAGATTCAAATCCAAAGTGAAGAGGGGACTGTCTAAATATTTGATCATGAAGTCTGTGACCTTCACCATTGATCACAGATGCCCCTTTTATTAAATTAAACATTTGTAGCTGATGTATGGAATATACGTTGAAGAAAATATAACCATTTGCATCTAATCTTTTTATAATAAAATCATTTTAACACACACCTGTGCCGATTTTGCGACCCCGTAAAAATGGTATTGCATGTCTGTGCCTATATTTTGATGTGACGTCATTTGTGTTATACAAACAAAGCGTAAAGAATGGGAGCGTTATACTATTGGCGCTTCAATAACAAATGATTATTTTTCGCTATAAACATTATTTATTTTGGGTATGTGATAAATAGAATATTATATTCCTGTAGATTCATTACTGAATTTATTGAACTCGTTGAATTAAATAATATTAAGCTTGCCAGAGGCTCACATAATATAATTTTATCAAACTTGTTCAATAAATCCTGTATGGAATCTACACTCATTCATATCCTATTTATTACAATAATATACTATACGTGTATTATTACCTCTGCTACAGCAGAACATGCCAGTGCAAAAAATTTGTTCCACTCAATTTCACCACCAAAACTTCCAATTCTAACCAAGTCATCAAACTGTTCTTTTGGTAAAGCCAGGTCCATCCATTTCTCCTCGATCAATCTGAGTTGAACAGTTTTCTTTGGTCCAAGCTGTTTCAACAATAAAATTTAAGTTTTAAACTATTTCTTTGGGTTATAATGTTAACAACAAAATTTATATAGATTATATTCACAAAACAATTTCAAAAAGGTGTCTTAAGAACATCCAATTAAAGTTTCCATTCAGCCTAAGTACCAGTACCAATGTGAGGCTTGTGAAATTGTTTTCATACATATTTTTTTATCAATCTGATTTCCGATTCCAAAGTCTATCAATTTAATTTCTTACTGTAAATGTTACAATCCATAACCTTGTTTATCCTTTTTTGTAATTAAATAAATGAACTTAAACGAATATATAGTAAAACCTGTAGTAAATACACCTTTATCAAGACGGCCATTTCATTTTCCTTCTTGAAGAAATATCAAAGTATTTCAAGTAAAAGTTAGGCTACACACTGCCATGTTCCCACATACTTGTCCCTTACTAGAGACATGTTTGACTATATATAAAATCTTTAATTAAAAAAAAATGAATATTTAAGTCAAACCTGTTTGTTGAGAACCCTAAGAAGACCAG